TGGTCTGGAACTCACTATGTAGACCAGGCTGGCCTTGAACTCACAGAGATCCACCTGCCTCTGCCTCCCGAGTGCTGGTATTAAAGGTGTGCACCACCACTCCCAGCCATATTATGCTTTTTAAAAATTATATTTTTAGAAAATTTTGCATGTGAATGGTACATAGCTGTGGGGGTCAGAGGACAGCCTGCAGAAATCAATTCCCTCTGTCATGTGGGTCCCAGGGATTGAACTCAGGTCTGCAGCCCTGACAGCAGGTGTCTCTTCCAACTGAGCCATCCCACCATCCCCCTCAAGTCCTTTTTGTTTAATGGCATAGTATTTGTATATAGAAATACAAATGCTTTGCAAATAGTGTTATACTGTTCTGCTTATGGCATTTTGACAAGGGAACATCTACATGTTCAGTACAGATGTGGGTCTCCTCTCCAACTCTTAGGCATCTGTGGTTAGTTACAAGCTTATGGATATAGAACCCATGGGTGCAGACCACTAACTCGGTATGCTCAAGTCTGCAGTGCACAGTGATTGCAACTTTGTCTAGGGCAGTAACCTTCCTGTTGTTAGTTTTCAGGTGGGAGATTTGGTACTCATCATCCTAGATGAGCGGCATGACAATTACGTGTTGTTCACTGTCAGTCCTACTCTGTATTTTCTGCATTCAGAGTCTCTGCCTGCCCTGGATCTGAAACCAGGTGAGGGCGGTAAGTGTCACATCCAGTTCTAAAACGTTAATTTTGAGTGGAGGGTTATGTTCCTTCTGTGTGTTGTTAAATATTCAGAATAAGTCATTAAGAAGGAAATCTGATTGTTTTATAGATTTTTTATTGAATTTTTGCGATTTCCATACACTATAGTTTGATGTATTTAGACCCCCTTCCCTGTCCTCACCTCCCTTCACTGCCCCATTTTTCATGAAATCTGCATTAGCCACATAAAGGTTCGGCCAGGCATGGTGGTGTAAGCCTTTAATTAAGCCCAGCACTTAGAGGCAGAGACAGTGGATCTCTGTGAGTTTGAGGCCAACCTGGTGTGTGTAGGGAGTTCTAGGATAGCCAGGGCTACGTATTGAGACCCTGTCTCAAAAAACAGGATTCAAATATGCTGTGACCTAGTAATTTCAGAATTATTTGTCCAGATCCTCAGGTACATCCTGTTGAAGTTTGTTCATGGAGACATTACCAATTTTTGTCAAAAAAATGTTTTAAGTATTGTCTTTTCTATGCTGTTTATTAATAATTTTTTCCTACCTTGTTCTTCATTATACTCATTGATACTATAATTCTGTGTTTGGACAAACAATGAGCTTTGCTAAACATGTGAAGTTCCCATGTCCATTATCTGTTGGGTCATTAAAGAATTGAAAACGATAGATATTCCGGTGCTCTTAGCCTAGATAGGATTGTTTAGAAACAGCATAGCCCCCTGAACAGATAGCTTTTTCAGCATGACCTGTAAACAAACACCTGTTCTTGGACCATGATGGTGTCACACACAACTCCATCATGCCTTTTTCTGGGTGAGTTGTTTTAGAATGCCTGTGGGACAGTAATTAAGTATCATGAAAAGTAAGAACATAAGCATACCCCTAACTAGTTTTTTTGACACAAGGGCTCATCGTGTTTTCCATGCCAGCCTTAAACTCTTGTGTATCTGAGGCTGTCTGAACTTTGGATCCACCTGCCTCCGCCTTCCAAGTGCTGGGATTTACAGCATGTGGCACCACACCTAGCTATGTCTCTTTTTTTTCCTGATCTTTTTGCTGTTGTTCTTTTCACTTGTTCAAACCTTTTGTTTAATTATGGAGTTTTGTTTTTGCAGTGTTGGGATCAGACCTAGTGCCTTGTATATATGCTAGTTGAATATTCTGTCTCTGAGCTATATACCCCAACCTTTTTAAATTTTATTTGAAAATGTTTTATGTTATAAAAATTCATAAGTGAAAGAATCCATATCTTTATCCAGATTCACCTATAGATATATTTCAACGTTTGCATTATCTGTATATTTCTAAATATATAAATATAAAATATGTCCTAATATTCTGTGAATTTGAAAAGAATGAGTGTTTACCTTCCTTCTTGCCCTCTGCCCTCATCTTCAGTCTCTCCTTGCACAGGAAGTACTCTTTCAGACTTAATTTTGATTTTTTTACCATTACTAATTTTTATTGACTTCCAGTTGTGTTCACACTGCTGAGCTAGCACTGTGGTGCAGGCTCCTGCCCATACCGTTTAACGCACTGCCTCTCTTTAATCCTAGAAAGTGTATTTTGCCCAATTTGAGACATGGAGGGTGTCTTTGGTAGTTTGTTCAGTAGGTGGCAGTGTTGGGTTAGCCTAGGTTACCTGTTCTGTACTCTTGCTTAGGTTTCTAGTGTTTCTTGAACTATTCAATACTTGGCAAATGTTTTAACATTTTTTGAAAAGTAGTACAAATCCAGTTTTGTTTCAATAAATTAACGTTTCAGTGGTTTTTAAAGTCTTATGTTCTTTGACCATGAGAACGTCATTACTGTTCGGATTCTGGTCATCCCTTTCTCATGAGTGTACTTTGAAAAAGAAATTAACAATTTATTCGTTAGCTTCAGGTGCATCTAGAAGACCCTGGGTCCTTGGAAAAGTCATGGAAAAGGAATACTGTCAAGCCAAAAAGGTAAAAATTATTCCCTATAATATAAACCTAGGAATTTAATTATAGAAATTGTTACTAGTTCTTTCAGCCTTTTTTGCTTACTTTGTTTCTTGAATTTTATTAAGTTTAAGCAAAAGTTTAATAAACATTCGTATTATTGTATTTAGGTAGACAAAGTAGATTCCCAATAATCTGTTTACCTACAAAGGAAAACTACTAGTGTACTCAAGTTGAAACACCCCTACATAACTGCTGGCCACAATGAATTCTGTTTGTATGTAAAGTTGCTCTTATTTCTATAACTCTATTGAGGAAAGATGCTCTAAAATACTTGGTGACTTCAAAGTGAATTGATGAGTCAGGCATAGTAGTGCATGCCTATAATCAGAGCACTTGTGAAGCCGAGGCAGAGACAGAAGGAGTTCCGTGCTACCCTGGGCTATAGAATAAGACCTTGCCTCAAAACAACAAAAATTGGGTGTGTTGGTGCTCACCTGTAATCCCAGCACTTGGGAGGCAGAAGCAGGAGGGATACTACCAATTGGAGGCTGGTATAGTCGGCATAGTGAGTGCTAGGCCCGCAAGGGCACCAAGACTACACATGAGAAAGAAAGGAAGAAAGGAAGAGTGGTTGGATCTGATCACAGAGTGAGCACTATTGATGAATCCTATAAAATTGGTGAATCTGTCATGTAGTCCCCGACTCCCTGATACTTAAAATCATGTGACGTGTGGCTCACTGTAGTATATTCTCTAGTAGCAGCTACAAACCTCTGCTGATTGAGTAGCACAGCGTATTCTTACTTGGGTAGGTCTTTTGCAGTTTGATACAGACTAAAGACTCTATTCCCCCTATCCCCACCCCTCCTGAATAGGTGAGAGTCTGTGTAATTGATTCAACCTTCAAGTGATTCCCTTTTTTCTTTTAGGCACAAAACAGATTCAAAGTTCCTTTGGGGACGAAGTTTTACAGAGTGAAAGCTGTTTCGTGGAGTAAGAAGGTGTAGCCCACGGGAGAAGTGACTACATCTGAAGTCGTTTTCTGATTTGTCCTCCAGTGCTCAGAAATCACTCCAAAAACAACCGGCCGACTTTTCATACAAAACTTCACATAACAATACACTTCATTGGTGGATATCACTTACTTTTTAACTAGCTACATTTCAAGAACAATAAATTCATCAAAATCTTGGCTGAATTAAAATGGTTTCCTTTCATTTTGTTTCCAACCAGATAACTAGAAATGTGGACCAAACTAGTTCATTTTCTCAAAGGGCATAACCTGTGCACTGTGGCTTATAACTAGCCATATTAATTGCCTGTTAAATAAACATTAGCTTGAACTTAGGTATTAAATGTTATTATTACCAGCATTTGTCCTTTTGTGAACTCAGTATCAGAATACTTGCACTCTTTAACACATTCTTTATAAAATGTATAAATTCTCCCAAACCATTTAAAGAGGAGTGTTATTATTGCATGCAGATAATCACAATCTTGAGTTTGTCTCAGACTGCTAAAGCAAATTCTTTCTTTTTTTTTTTTTTTCTTTTTCAAATGCCCTTTGGACGTTTCAGAAAAAAAGAACTCTGTAATTTGACTGACTTTAAGATCAGCCATAAATAATGAACAGTCTTCAGAAGCGCTTTCCTCAGCGAGGTCACTTGGGCTCTCCAGGGAAGGAGAGTCTCTGCTGTTAACATTTTCAAGTACAGGACTCAAACTTCCCCAACATCTTAGAGCTGTTTAGAATAATCATATTGATGAAATTGTAATTCATGGTTGAGTTTCAGAAAAAGATATTCATTGTACATTAACCTTTAAAGGTCGTTTAAATAATAAAATACTGTATTGTAAAAGACCTGTACAATTTTAAAATAATAAAGATTTGAAAGTGTAAATGTGTGTGCCTTTTAAAGAAGGTTACATTTTTAATATATTTGAGTGATTGCTGGGAAGTGTGAAATTGTTCTGTATCAAAGAGTTACATGTTTATTTCAAAACTGTTGTTTATATGCTGTGTAACAGGGTAAAACAGTGTTGCGTAGAGTAGAATTATGTAAAGCAGACATTCAGAGAAGCCATCCTTGAGCAGAGGCACTTAAATGAATAGTAGATTTGAAAGAGGTTTTTTCAGGTTTGTGGCTAGCAAGCAGTAATGATTCTTTTTCAGAAAATATTTAATTTCTTCAAAAAATAAGTTGGATATTTTTATAAACATGTTATCTAATAGTATGAAAATGGAATAAGCATCATAGTGTGTAGAATTTGACAACATTCATGAATAAATGAACAGATGATTTCATACGTTTCTACTCAGTCCTTCCATGATATCTTTATGCTCAGTGTGCCATCTAACAAATGACTTTATGTCAGGGGTTTTAACTGATGTGCTTGCGTCTAAATGACTCTGCTAGGCAGGCTGTTTTTACTTAGGTGGCACCCTTCAGATGTAATATGTGGTCATTGTGCTGTGGATTGCTGTGTATCACAGCACATGACAGCGGACCTCCGTTCTTATTAATACCGATGTTAACGTGGCTGCTGATTGCTTTGTTGTATTCTGTTCTTATACTCATGTCAATGTTCATATATATCTTTCAAAAGCAAATGAAAAACTAAAATGCTTTTATTAGAAGAAAAATGAAAGATTTCCAGAAACCTAAACTCATCATGTTCTTAGTTTGAGTTAATTAAAAGCGTTATAGTGTGAGCATTCAGGCTCAGATCAAACTTCAGGTGAGTTCCTCATCTGTCCTATGTTTCAAACAAGGTAATAAGACCTACCTAATAGAGTGATTTCACTTTGAGTGCCTTCAGGCCTTTTGTGTGCACCTTTAATGGGGAATTGCTGGGACATAGTTGGATCTTTGCCTTTCTGAGAAAGTGCCATGTTTGTCTGAACCAGTTTACATTCTCATCTGCAGTGAGTGAGGGTTTGAGTTTCTCCAGATGCTCACCTGGTTTTTGTATTTTATAATTCTACGTGTTTTGTGAGCTTGTTGTGTATCTTCACTGGGGGAATATCCATTGTGTATTTTTATATTTAGGTATTTTTAGTGTGTGTGTGTGTGTGTGTGTGTGTATTGCCTGCATTTATGTAAGTTCACTCGTGTCGTGGAGTGCCCGTGGAGATCAGAAGAAGGTATCAGATCTCTGGAACTGGAGTTACAGGTTGTTAGCCACCATGTGGGTGCTGGGAATCAAACCCGGGTCCTCTGGAAGAGCAGCCAGTGCTCCAACCACTGAGCATCTCCCCAGCCCTGTTGTCTTTTACTTTTGAGCTGCAAGAACTCGTTCCACACTGGGTACTGGACTCATTATTTATACTCTCTCTCCTATTCAGTAGATTGGCTCCATAATTTTTATACACAAAACTTTAAATTTTGATTAAATTAGTCATCTTTTTTTCTTTAAAAAATTTCAACTCTTTAGGTTGAATTTAGATTTTGAGTTATTTTTGATAGGAAATGAGGTCAGGTCCCAAATTTACACTTTTACAAATGAATGTCAGTGATTCACTTGTGAGACTTGGAGTTACTTGAAGAGACTATCAAGCCCAGGTGTAGTGCGTGCCTGTGATCCCAGCCTTCGGGAGTCTGAGAAAAGGTCTAGCATTCAAGGCCAGCATAGTTCATAGGGTGATACTCTGTCTCCAAAACGGGCAATCCAGGTCACAGGTATGTGTCTTAAGTATGACAGGTCTGTAGTATTTTGATCACCAGCTTATCAAGTTTTAACTGGAAACATGAATTCTCTTTTCCAATAATGCTTTCTTTAGGGATCTCATTAGATTGCTTATGGCTTTTTGTTTTGTTTCAGATAGGGTCTCCCTATAGCCCCAGCTGTCCTGGAACTCACTATGTAGACCAGGCTGGCCTTGAACTCACAGAGATCCTCCTGCCTCTGCCTCCTGAGTGCTGGGATTAAAGGTGGCGCCTGGCTTGCTTATGAATTTTAACAACTTTTCCATTAGAATTTTGATAGGGATCACATTGAATCCGTGAATTACTGGGGGAATATTGCTGTTTTAATAGTGTTGTGTCTGTTTTCTGTGAACAGAGATAATTTCCTGTTCTGCCTTTGGTTTCCTCGAGCAATGCTTTAGTCTCGGTACTCCCCGCCCCCAGTTGCATTTGTTCTCAGGCCTTCTGTTCTTTGAAAGTGTCATAAATAGAATTGTGTTGCTAATTTCTTTTTGTCATATTTTTTAATTGCTTCTAGAAACTTTTTATTAAATTTTTGTGTATTTTATACAGAACATCTCAATCTTAATCATCTTTATACCCCCTTCCCCACTGGCACCTTCCCATAGCCCCCTCCCCCCAAACTGGAATTCATACATTCTGTCATTTGTCTTAAAGCATATTGTATCAAGTTAATGTCTGTCCCTCAGTACAAGATCATCTACTGAGGTCTAGTTGCCCTATGTAGAGTCTCACTTTAGGAAGATCCAGGGAGGAGGTATATGATCATATGGAAATAAGAGTCTTATAAGCTCCTGGAACCTTGCTCATAAGAATCTACAGCAGGGGGTGTCAGCATGCACAGGACCCATGCAAACTCAAGTAGACAGAAACCCAGAATAGAACTGGGGAAATGGACAGCTACGCCCATCTTAGCTAAGGAAATACTGGCAACTGAAAACTGCTGCGTGAGGAAGAGCTGATCTTCCCAAAACAAAAGTACTAGTTTATGTGTGCTGCTCTTCGGCCCTGAAACTTTACCATTTTCTCTGCCACTTGTGTGTGTGACAGGCCAGCGTAGTTCACTTTTTCCTTTCCAGTGGGTCCCTTGCTTTCCAAATTCCTTTTGCTGAACTTCAATATTTTATTGAAAAATAAAACCTCATTCATATATTACCTAAATCATAATTCAGACCTCAGAATGCTATTGTTCTATAAGGAAACAATCAAAGGGGTCAACTTCATATTGCTAAAAGTACAAGGATATCACAGTCAACCTGGAATTGACCATGACCACAAAACATTTGTGCTCTAATCTTCTGCTTAGCTCCCTGGGTACCCCTTGTTTTTGCTAAGTCATTCTTGCAGACTGAGTATTTTAGTGTCTGCTTCGTCTTGTCTTGCCTCACCAAAGCAGCTAAGTCAGCTGACATACTTGGAACATATGGGGCAACCTTAGCAAGCGTGTCAAGTTTACTAGTTTGACCAGTTTTTGCTGCTTCAAGATGTAAATCCCCATATGTGCGGGCTCCAACATTTTCTTTATCAATGTTTACTTACAGTCTGGTCTCTATTCCAGACCTCGTCAAGAAGTGCAGTGCGTTTGGGGTTTTGTTTCATCAGAATCTGTCAGAATTTATTTCTGTATTAGACACACATTGTGCGACAACCTAAGATAATACCATTTCTTTGCTTACTTGGCTGCAGTTAGTTGTTGATGGCTGGGGCTCAAGGATCCATTAATGATGCCCTCACAGATTAGATCTAGGGGTGCAGTGCCATCTGCAGCCCCTGCACAGAGGCAGCAACATGGTAAGATAACAAAGGTCAGAGGCTTCTAAGCACATTGTTTGGTCAAAGTCAGAATCAACCCAGACTTAACCTGCTGGAGTAACTAGGGGGAAAGGTCTTTTAAACTTCAACTTTTAAGTTAGGCCTTAAATAGCTGTTGTCCTTTTTAAATATTTTATCCTTATGTGTATGAGTGTATTGCCTGCATGTAGATAGGTGCACCCCTGTCATACAGTGCCTGCAGAGGTCAGAAGAGGGTGTTGAATTCCCTGGAACTGGATTTAACAAACGGTTGTTAGTCACCATGTGAGTGTTGAGATTTGAACCCGGGTCCTCTGTAAGAGCAGCCGATGCTCTTAACTGCCGAGCCAGCTCTCCAGCCTCAGATGTCCTTTTTTAAAATTTAGATGTAGATTTTAGAAATACTTGAGCATTTCTGAAAAATGCATGCTGGGGCTGTAGCTCTGTTGGAGCACTTGCCCAGTGTGAGGCCCTGGGTTTGGTCTCTGACACAAACAATGCAAAACTCATGTGGCTTAATGTTGCTTAGAGTCAACCAAAGTTGGTAATGTTTAATTTTCATAAATTTACTGATCCTAATTCTTGTAATGAAGGAAGCGACATGAATGTCTCGTTGGCAGCTCTTAGGTGGTCATACTCTAGGGCATGGCTGTCCAGTCAGTTCTTTAAATACTTGCTATAATTTGTAATCTTTATGGGTGAGATGGAAATTCTTTCCAACAGTTCTTAACTCAGTGGTAAGGAGACTGAACAGTCAGCTCTAAGCTATTTGGTTTACATACTTCTTAGGTGGCTCAGGCTTTTGGCAGCCATTTGGAGTAAGCTCTACCTGTTTGCTTCATTCTCCCTTAAACAAGGCCTCTCTAATGGTAGCAAGAACAGGAACCCTCAAGATACTATTCAAGTTTAGGTCTTCATTTCTAATCAGACCAGTAATACGCATGTACCCTGTAAGAATGCAGCCCAAAGGCGAGTGTCACACATTTTTAACCTTGCCACTCAGGAGGCAGAGGCAGAGAGATCTCTGAATTCAAGGGTAGCCTGGTCTACATAGCAAGTTCCAGGTCATGCAGGGCTACATAGTGAGACTTTGTCTCCAAAAAGAAAGAATGCACCCCAGGCCTGTCTTGCTCTGCAGTAGCGGAACCCCACCTAATTGCTGTGTGCTCAAGCATTCACTGCGTATCACCATTTTATGTCAGTGAAGTGTCAGTCCTGCCAGAGGCAGGAATCTTCAGCTGTGCTCAACTTTGATGTTATCAATATCAGGAACTTCTAGTACTTTCCTTGGCTCTCAACAGCTTTTTGTTTTGTTTACTAACAGGGTAATTCTCGCGAGAATTCTTTCTCGCTTTGTGGGGCCTAATGGCAAAGATGCTTTTGACAATCTGATTCCAATTTGATGTTGTAATCTTAGCTCCTCCAGTAGTATTACTCACTGAAGAAATAATGTACATGTCACTTGTAATCTCTTTGGAATTCTGTTCTGCCAGTGGATATGTCCTTAACCAGCCCAGGTGTCTAATATGAATGATTATCTTTCTTAAGGAATGAGTTCTTAAACATAACTCTTCCAAGAATGCATAGCCGGTCTCCCAGCATACACTCTGCCTACATTCTCTCAGCAATTTCTTTCATGTATTGCAAGTTTACCTCCACATCCTGTCTGTTTGAGAAGTGTAAGTTCTGGAGGCGGCATGCTGCCTTTAAAGCCACCATCTACTTAATTTGTTCTTGTATAGAGGCACAACATTTTCAAGCGTATTCTTCAAATTTAGCCTGTAGCATCAAAGAACACAAAGGAGTATGAGCAATTT